AAGTAAGTGTATATAAGGTAGCATTTCCAAAAATGGAAAGAGGTAGGTAGGGTGCCACTGTGTTTGATTTATTACATGAGCAATAACTTAGCAAATTGAAAAATTATATCCTAGCTTGTCAATATCGGTAATTTGAGTTTCTAATTTGTTTGAAACTATAGACTTAGTATTTTGACTTTTGAATATTTGTATGTACTTTCTTGTCTACCTCATTTTTGATGGACTGTTAGTTATATATTAGTTGGTTCTTTGTTTTCTTTGTTGACCATATACATTTCGATGATTTTTGCAGTTTGATATCAATAATACTATATGCTTATCTCTGTAAAAGTAATTTAATTCTAATCAATATAACTAGTAATCATTATCAATAAATAAATAGTAATTTATGCTTATCTTTCAATCATTCTGTTTTTCTCATTGTTAAATATATGACTTATAATCCTCATCTTAGTAAGTGTTGGACATATTTTTTTAAATTTTATTTTCATTGCTACATCACTGACATGTTCGTTTATTTACATTTTGAAGGGCTGAGCTTTACTTTCCCTCCAATTCCTCTTCTTTTTTTTATATATACTAGACACCAATTTTTTTCCACATAATCTTTATTTCAGAGTCATCCCCACAGTACCCATGTTGTAGTTAGTTCTTTCACACTAATAGTTAGTTAATACTTGTATTATTCTGTTGTTCTGCTACTCCCACTTCAAATACTTTATGGCAATTTCTAGAACAGTTTTTTTTTGTATTCTAATTTAAATGTTGTTTTCCTAGGTTCCTGCTATTTGTATTCGGGGGTTTGTGTGCCTGGAATTCCTATTTACATGCTTTTGCCTTTTGCACATGGCTGTCCTCCTACAGTTGATGTGGAAGTTTGTCCAGTGATAGCCATTTGCGTAACTTCTGTGTTGTAATTCCGGTTGCTTTCAGTATGGCACCCCGTTTACTTGTAGTTGGGGTAGTGTCTATTTTTCATGGTCCACTTGCCCTGGCCTCATTACATTGTATATACTCATTTGATTCTTTGGCAGTCCTTCACCTCATAATACTGAGGATGGGACAAGAAACCCCATATGTCCAGTTGGGGTTGGGGAGAGTCTTGCTCCAATGTTTTCCAAGGCCTTTCATTATTGGTTTGGTCCTTGATGCTGCCCATTTCATGACACCTCACTTCCAGAGTAAAGGGCATATCTGTTCCAGAAATGGTCAATTCCCCTCATCTGTGCTTTCATTCAATTACTGAGCACACATATTTGATTTGATATGGGTGTTTTCCATTGAGAGTTTCTTGCTTTTGTGTTATACTGGTCCCTCCATTTTTTTCTGTGTGAGATTCTAGCTTTTGTGTGAGAGGAGATAGATATCCTACTGGAAGTTATCATTTTCCTAGATTGAAAATAGATTTCCAATAGATACTCACCTCCTTTCACACCCTTCCTCCCTACTTCCAGTGTTTTTCTATTTTCTTGTATGCCTAATCTCAAAAGTGAGGTAAACAAAATGTAATACAGAGGGAGCCAACTGCTCCAGGAGTGTGTATTGTGCTTCTGTTGGTGGAGGGTCATCGCATCTGCTATTCATGCTAGATGAGCAGCTTGAACTGAGGAGGTATAAAGACTAGTGAGTCAAGCAAGAATAATTTTTTCTAATGCGTTAGAGAGCAGATGAAGATCGGGAAAAGCTTTCATGTAAGTGGGGGTGAGTATCTATCAGAAATATATTTTCAGTGTAGGAAAATTATAACTTTTGTCCATCTCACATGTAAAATGTGTACATGGATGTTATGAGCTTAGGTATTCTTGAAGCTTCTTTGCCTGATCAGTATTGTGAAAAAGTAGAAAACTGTCATAAAATATCCTTTGTATAATACTGGCTTGTTATTGAAGGGGCATTTATCTAGGCATTAATGCTCATATTAACAGAGATAAATATCTGCAAAAATTAGAGTAGGGGTGATTTCATCACCACTTCATCTGTCTGGTCATAAAGCTTAAAAATGAAGTGATTGTCTATGAGAAGCTGTTAGAATTGTTGTTGGTTAGAGTGCAGGGCATCTTTGGTTGGGAATAACTTTAATAATTATTTGAATTGTTTCCTCAAGTGGGATGTAAGTGAATAAGGATTGAATATCAATCCTGACAAATTGGTTTGCATTCGGAAATTTAGATATCTTTTGAACAAAGTAAAAAAAGACTTTAACAGTAAATTTGTTCTCAATCTGTGAGCTGAGTGCAGATACAAGGTAGTTAAGAAGTTTCTAAATGTGGGAGTAGATATATTTAGGGAGTAAACCATTTTTGGTAAGGCATACATAAAACTGGGACAGAAACCTGTTGTAGAATAAGGTTCTGCAAATATGATGTCAGAGATGAATTTACAATTTTTTAAATATTATAAAATCCATTGAAGATTTTCATCACACTTAAGAGTAAGCTTAAATCCTTCATTACTGAGGAGTGTAAATGTAATCAGATCTGTTTAAAATGGCAACTCCTGCACATTTTTCTGGCTGGATAACAACATTTTGATTACTGGCAAGTTGATTTATTGCAGAAAACTCAACCTGTGTAATAGCAGATGATTTAAAGGGTTGCAATTATAAAAGGATGACAGGGCCACATTTTAAATTTAATTTTGATGAAACATTTTATGTTTGGTATATTATTTTTTGTTAAAACTAGGAAAGGATTTCAGAGTCCTGTAGATACATTCAAATGGAAAAAAGTAATTTGAGGAACTAAGTTTATGGGTAGGCAGACAAAACCATAAACCTTTTGTTAGAGCATTTTTACATTGTTCACTTAAGTTAAAATTATTAGAATTAACATTAACAAGATTTATGTCACTAGATTTTTTCAAAGAAATTAGTTTTTTAAGCTTGACCTTCTGGTGGTGTCCAAGTCTGGCAATGGATATGAAGTTGAGATTTTCAGTCAAATTGGTAAGATGATGATAGTCAATCCATGAAATTTCATTCTTAAATTCAAGAATGGCTGTAATGTCAGCTGTTTTTTCCAACAATATTTTGTTTTCAGTTTTTCTTCTAGTAGCTTTCTTTGACAGAAATGATAAGCAGAAAACCTTAGAGATTTTGATTAGTGATCTGGAAATTTGGAATAATTTTATGATGTTTACGTCAATCAACAAAGACATTTCTAGGTTTTGAGATCAAGCTTTTTAAGAATACGAAACAAACATAATCCATGATATTCATACTGCCATGTTGTAGTATATCCAACTGATGAATCAGTGGGAAAACAAAATTTTATGATAAATATTAAAAACATAGTATTACCAAGAAACATCTTTAATTATGGACACTTTGGAATTTTTTCAAATTACATCAGCATTAAAACTGCAAAAAAGTTAGTTTACAATATTCAACTACAAAAAACAACATTAGATATTAAACAAGAAGTTTTTGATACAGTTGAAAGTTTAAAGCAAACATTTTTGTATTGCTATATTTCCATATTTATTATAATATTTAAGATTTTTTACCTTTAATATACATGAAGATTATATATATATATATATATATATACTGATGTGTGTGTGTGTGTGTGCGTATTTAGGTAATAATAAACCTTATGATGATAATATGTACTTATGCTAACTACTAGATGCTGATTTTTTAGACTTACTAATTTACTCTAGTTCTCTGGCCTTTTTTTCTGTCTAATACATGAATAAAGTTGGTAAATTTGGTTGTTTTCATTCATGTTAACTTACTTGTATGTGTAACTTTTTAGCAGGTTTACAGTTGAATCATTCTTGTTGGGAATAACTTGATAATGCACATACATATATATATATATACATATTGTCTTTATAACGAGCTTAAAAGCCAGCCATAAAAAGCTCAAGTTATATTTTGTTCATCTGTTGCAAATCTAAGGGTGGTTACTAAGTATTCATTGACGTGACACTGACCTGAAGCCAGCCATAAAAAGCTCAAGTTATATTTTGTTCATCTGTTGCAAATCTAAGGGTTACTAAGTATTCATTGAGGTGACGCTGACCTGAAGCCAGCCATAAAAAGCTCAAGTTATATTTTGTTCATCTGTTGCAAATCTAAGGGTTACTAAGTATTCATTGACGTGACACTGACCTGAAGCCAGCCATAAAAAGCTCAAGTTATATTTTGTTCATCTGTTGCAAATCTAAGGGTTACTAAGTATTCATTGAGGTGACGCTGACCTGAAGCTAATACAAAGGTCTAAGCAATTATTTTGCTCCTTTGTTGACAGGTGATGGGTTTTGAATCTTGGTTCATAATGGCCAAAATTAACCCAAGATCAGTGATTGAAATAAACTTGATAATGAGGCGTTACAGAGTTTCTTTGGCACAGGTTTGTAACTAAATGTTTTTCATTAATTTTTTTATTATTTATGACTACAATTTGAGAATATTTTTGTTGCAAAATAAATTTCTGATCCATATCTGGAGGCTACAGTTATTAAAGCTTTATATTTTGGAGGAATGCATTTGATTAAAGAAAAAATTTAAAGATAACCTTTTCAAAGTTCGATTGGAAATATGGATCTAATGATACCATATATTAAACAATGTTTGTGCTTGTTGTAGGTATTATGATTCTGTGTAATGAACACTCAGTATTTGTTGATGTAGATTCGTGTTATTATGTACAAAATAACACATCACACCTAGCTGATTAGTCATAATTAATACTTAATTGTTTTGGTACAGTTACTGTTGCACAACATATCTGTTTATTTTATTTTTTGTTACTTTGAACTAAAGACTGAGTGTATAGTAATTTGAAAATGCATTCTGTAACTGAGGTGCATTATTTTTATTTTGTGTTGCACTCAACTACAAATCTGTTTTATGAAAAAAATATTGAGTTTTTGAGTATTAATGATGTTTAAGATATTTTAATACTTCAGGTACAAGTTTTTCTTGTATTTGCTGCTACTGTATCTTTCATTATACTTTTGTTTTTTAGGGGTTTTCTTTTATGACTAGGGGATAAACTCGTCCTTTGCTTACAATACATGTACTAAAATTATTTGACTACTGAAACATTTTTTAACAAAAAAAAATGGATATATATGGGATTGAATCCTTGTTTTTCTCCATATGAAGTGTGTGCTCTACCATATGAGCCAAAATATTTTTTTCACATATGCATCACTTAGTTAATTAGTATATTTATGAGAAGGGTAAGTGTTTCAAGTAGATAATCCTTTAAATAATTCTGTATAATGTAATTGGACATCAATGAAACAAACATACTAAGAATATGGAGTTGTTGTATTTAGATTGCAAGTAAAGAAGTATAGAAACGTAGTGACTATAAACGAAATATATCTCTGTGCACAACATTTTTTGTATAAACACCTCTTTCTGGATAATTGCCATCTTTGATTAAGATTTTGAGATTTTTTTTCTTGATCAAACTTTTTATATGATAATACTACATAAGAACTCTTTGTGGCTGATTTTATAGCTGTTACGATCCTGGTATCTTTTGTTGTAAATATAATGATACCACATAAGAACTCTCTGTTGCTGATTTCGTGGGTCTCATGACTCTGGTGTAATTTGTTGTGGCTGTAATGATACTACATAAAAACTTTTGTGGGTCAGGAAGTGTAAAATCAGCTATCTTAACATATTTCTATCTGACTGATATTTCTTTTTTTTCTATAATGGTATCAACTCTTTTTTTTTTACTCTCCACAAAAGTATTAACAAAGCGTAGGGTCTACTACCACTAGGATCCAGCAGAAATGATGTAATATTTTATTCCCATAGAGAGTAAACTTCTTCTCATATGAAGCATATTTAAACTTTGGGCCTATTTAGCAATTTTAGGACATCTTTATTAGGAGAATTGGAAACATATAATAGTTATAAAGAAGTGAATTTTTAAAATCATGGTATCATGAAGTGCAAAAAGCAACTGTTGTTATGTATATTTTGTAAATTTTTGTGTTTAAATCACATTTGTATATCACCTGAAACTAATTATTTTCTTTCATATAATGTGTTAGCAGTAAAGCCTTAAAAATGAATGAAGTTGTGGCAGAAACTATTAAGACTAATTATACAGTGGGTAAACTCGTGCTTCACATGCAAAGCATATTTCAACTTTAGACTTAATTGTTCATTTTTAGGTGCCATTTAGAATTTGTACTGATATGTAATGGTATTGCATCATTTATAAGCTGCAGAAATGCAAAAAATCCACTTAATGTGTTTCCTTGCAGGTTTCTTTATGTAACTGAAGTAATTGTCTTTAAAGTTAACATGTTAAGTATTGTTCACCTTTTAACTCGTAGAAACATAAAAGTACCACTGTACAATTAGCCATTCGGAATATTGGGTTTCCATGTGAGCTAGCACACACATATATTCATAGATTGACTGACACCCATGTTCTTTTAATTACACAGATACTAAAAATTTAACACTGGTTAAGGTAGTAAACATTTAATTTCATTAATGTTGTTTTAGGCCTTATGATCCACAAACATATGAAGATGAAATTGATGATGATGAAGTTCTTGATGAAGAAGGAAGAGCACGCTTGAAATTGAAGGTGAAACATACCTTTAAGATATACTTATTCATTATTACCCAGAGAGCATCAGGGTTTTTGTTGGGTTTTTTCACAATTTTTTTTGTACTAAATATATATATATTATATGAAAAGTTCTGTTCAAGGTTGTATTAATTTCTTAAGTATATTCAGAGCTTGTTTTTACCATTTTAAAAGTTATATGTTAATGGTTTACTATTAGTACAATGTTCATGCAATTTAATTATAAATTTTCTCAAGTGTAAACATTCATTAATTAAAAAAATATATATATATATACACGCACACACAGTTATTTGTCATGAAATTCGGCAATTATTACACATGCATCCAGTTAACTAGAAAACTGGTTTAGTTTAATTATGAATGAAAAAGTAAATTTTTTCTTCCAGAAGGAAACATATGTGTGTGTGTGTATATATATATATATATATATATTTTTTTTTTTTTTTTCATTCAGTGTAACATAATTGTATCTTAAAGGCAAAAATATTAGTGATAAAATAACACATTATTATTGAGATTACATAATGAACAGTAAACCAGGTGTGATTGGATCATATTAATCAATTTAACAAAACAATGTGCAAAAATGCACATTTATACTTGTATCTTTTATTTAGGTTGAAAACACTGTACGTTGGCGAACAGTTGCAGATAAAGAGGGAAATCAGAAGAAGGAAAGCAATGCAAAAATCATCAGGTGGTCTGATGGCAGGTTAGTTTAGATTACAGTCATGTAGATAACAGTTGTTTTTCTAAGTACATAATGTATCATATGGGATGGTATGTACCTTAGCTCATTAAGAATTTAATATTGTTTTTTTGTAAACACCTTAAGCTATCTGAGTGTTAGGCTTCATTTACTCAGATAGGTTTTTATAAACGTTATAACACTAATATTCAGATTATTTATTTTATAAACAATATCTTTTTTCTTTCATTCATCACTAATATTCAGAGTACTTAAAAGAAGTAAAGATGTTTGACTGATTTAGTTTACAGCACTTACTGTTTTGTCTCGTTTCCCTTTTTACAATAGTACGATCTACTAAGAAAAGTAAAACGCTGAAGCTCCGATTAATATTATGGAAGATCAGAATTTAATAAAAACTGCATTGCAGTTTTTCTTGGTATTTTTGTAGCCATCTAGAATGTGTTACTAAATACAGTATTTCATATATTTTTTTACCTATTTACATTGCAAACACATTTGTTCTTTGTGTATTTATTTTTCATTACATCCAACTACAAATTGTGAGTGTATACTTATAACTGATGTGTTAATGTTGTCTTGGATTGTGTTGCACATAATTTCAATTTTAAGTGTATTATTTTTCTAAATACATATCTAAGATTATATAATTTGTTTCAATTCACAGTTTATCACTTCATCTTGGTTCTGAAATTTTTGATGTGTACAGACAGTCCCTTATGTCTGGTGATCCAAATCATCTTTTTATTAGACAAGGCACTGGTCTTCAAGGACAAGCCGTATTTCGCACTAAGCTTACCTTTAGGTGAGGCTTAAGTAGAATTTCTTTGTTAAGTAGTGAATATAGCTAAAACTATTTTACTCTATTGCATTAATTTACCTTCTGTGTGTTATTTTGAAAAGAGTAAATACGTTGTTAATACGATTATTTACCTATTTTGTTTCTATATAGTTTCCAAAAATTCATCAAGTTTTTTGCAGTAGCCATATTTCAGATAATGTTTTACTGTATTTAAAAGTTATCATATCATTTGAAGTAATTATTTTTGTTACAGAGGATCCCTTAACATTTTTGTCAAAACTATATATATATACATTTATTTATTTCCTCCTTGATTATGGTGAGGTTAGACATACAAGTCTTCATCTTTTTGTAATAAAGAATTGTAACTTTTCTTGTATGCTTAAGTTATAATTGTGTTTTTAGCTCTTTAACTTATATCTCTGTAGACCACATTCAACAGACAGTTTTACTCACCGAAAGATGACTCTGTCACTTGCTGACAGGAGTCAGAAAACACAAAAAATCAGAGTTTTACCAACTGTTGGTAAAGATCCCGAAGCTCATAGATCTGAGATGATAAAGGTAATAGTACATGAGTTTTTATAAGGAATAAACTGTTAAATTTAATCTCTTATCAAATAGGAAAGTGAATGATAGCAGTTTAATCAACATTATTTTTGTGTTTCTAATTTATCAAAATTCCATTGTTGTGTTGTGAGAAAACATAGAAGGTAAATACTTTTATATACTAAAAAAAAAAGTTAATTTCCATCAGTTAATGAAACAATTTTCTTTGAATAAATCAAATCAATATGTTTTACTATTTTTGATATTTATTGAAAGTTGTTCTTTTGCAGTCCATCTGCTTTTAGAAGTTACATTTTAAATTCCAAAAACTATATACTGATTGTTTTTAGGAAGTCTTGTCAGATAGCTAAATCTTTTCCACAGTAACATTTAAAAATTAACATATTAATCCCACATTTCAACTGTGTTTTTTTTTGTTTTGTTTTTACAACATAGGTTTTCTTGTAATTCGTATTAACATACAGTGTACTATTAAAACCCCAGGAGGTGATCCACCCAACAAAGGAAGATGCTCTGTTAAAAATGATTTTATACAAATATATATATGTCAGTTTAAAGTGCATTTATTCATATAAGCAAACAAAGTGCTCAATCTTCTATTGGAAAAAGTAAGTTTTATGTAGTTTATTTATTTATATATGCATAATTGTTTAGTAATGTCTCTTACACAGCAAAATAGATATTTTTAAGTTTTCCATCCCAAGACTGAGCAAGATTGATTATCAACTTTAAAAGTGCACTTTGAGTATTTTATTTATCTTTAAACATAACGTAAAGCTATCCAGCTGTTTGTGTGGTATCACTGTGATAAAATTTGATAAAGGAACTCAGGAACCTACCATCCCCAAAGATCAAGTTTAAGTGGATAAGCATTGGTTTGAGTTTAGAAACCATTTCAATTTTGCCAACTTAATGCCATGAATGAGGGCTCAACTGAGTGAGGAAATCAGTAGCAAAATACATAAAGCCAATGCCACATGAAAGTGACTTCTAATGTCACACAGCATGGGTATTTTTGCATCAAGTGAATGACTCGTGCTACAGCTGAAAACAGTAAAAGGTGGTATCCCATACTCCCATTTATAGTTTTACTTTTTAAGCCCCCTATTGTTGGGCATCTTTGCTAATGCATATAAAGTAGTGTTGGCATTAAAACTTTACATGATCTTAATGAAAATGTATTTTACTGTTAATTTAGCACATTTTTATATTAAATCTAAGTAGTTGTGACTTACAATTTCATGTTTTATAACAGTAATTTATTAAGTATAGTTAACAGATATATGTATTTTTGTGTTTAGAAAGAAGAAGATCGTTTGAAGGCATCCATTAGAAGAGAAAGCAAACAGAGGAGGATGAAAGAACGAGCACACTCTCGAGGCCTTAGTGCTTCTTATCTTGAGCCTGATAGTTATGATGGGGATGATGATGGAGCAATATCTTTAGCTGCCATTAAGAAGAAGTATAAAAAAGGAGGGGCAGCTTTACAAGGTAACTAGTCTTAAGGTCATCGAATAACCTTATTAAATTTTTTACAGAATCACTGTCGTAAGATAAAGATTTACATATGATTGGTATAGTTCTATAAATAGACAATACATTTTACTGTTTATATTGTTTATAATAATGTTTAATAATTTTGTGAATTAGTGTTTTACACTTACAATGCTCAGTGTATGGATTTGCTATCAGAACTTTGCGAGGTATTTAATAGTATTATGGCTAAACATATCTAGTAGTGAGGGCACCAAACTGATGATTCAGTACATTCTTTTTCACAAGTTCGTTTTAGTTTCGTTTTTAGTATACTGATGTATGACATACTTTTAGCATTGGTTATAGAGGAAAGGCTTCATTAACTTATAAGCACTGATCTATTATTATTGTTGTCAGAAGTTATCAGTAATTTCTGTACACTTGTAATCATCAAAACTATTGTAGTTGTAACCTGAGTAATAATATTTATTTCTAATTATTTTTGCACAACGTAAGTAAAGTTAATTTGTAAATTTTAATGAAAACCCTGATATTCTGTTAGTGAGCCATTAATTGTTCAGTAATAATATGGTTATGTAGCTTTTACCCTCTTTCTGCTCTCTTTCTCCTCTCTCTGATGCTTTGGATGTTTTAACTAAAGTTAGCATACTTTAGGAAGCAAAGATTATAAAAGAAATATTTAAACCGACATTACAAATGAGTACATTGTGGATGAGGGGGGGGGGGATTATTTATCACACTTTTTACCTTGGTAAATGTTATGATGAGCCTGTTAAAGCTTGACAAAATGTTTTTTAGAGCCTGAGAGTAATGCTTTTATCCATATTTTGTTTCTTACTTAAAATTTTTATGAGGTAGTACAACTAGCTATAATGTATTTAAATAGCATGGTATTCTTTTTATATTCAGTTTGTTTGTTTTTTACCAAGTCTTGTTTTAAGAAGGAAAGAAAACTTTTATCATTGTATTGAATTTCAGACTTAACCTTCAATACATGATACATGAATTCATTCATTTTTTAATTATAAAAAAATTGGAACAGTTTTAGTTGCATTTAACTACTAATCTGTATACATGCTTCAATAATGAACGGACACATGTAGCAGGTGTGAAACAGCTATAGCACTGAACTGCTAGCTTTCATAGACATTTTGAAGTGTAAGAGCAAACACATTCATGTTCTTGAACATAAAGTCTGTGCATCTGTATTAACCTTGTTGTTGAGACATCTTAGTGTAATGTATTTTTAAACACCATGGTTAGAAACTGCATTAAGTATTAGAAATATACATTTATGAATCACCTTGTAATTTGTGGTTTAGTTACTAGGAAATTCTATTAAATATTTTAAAAAAACATTTGTAAAGATTCTAGACTGCACTACTGAGTACAAAAATGCCCTAAAATTATTAAACTTGCTTTACCTTCACTAATACAGTGTAGCCTCCATATGGCATTGTTATAGGTTTAAAGATATAAACCAAAACATGAGAAGCAATGATTTTAAATCTAATGACTGTTTGTTTTTACTGCATTGCATATCTTCTGTTTATTTTAGCAGAGAAATAATCGTAAAGTTGGTTTTATTTTTTCTGTTGTAGATGGGAAACTATAATCTTGCATTGTAGCTTATCATGACCATATTACTGTTTGTAGATCTGCATTAATGATTACAGCTTAAAAGTTATTCTTAAAGGTATATTCCTTTATATATTTTAGGTCGGCAGTCCATATACTCATCAGATGATGAATCTGAAGAAGAGGAAGAGAAGGAGCGGCGATTGGAAGAAGCCAAAAATGCCAATGAAGATGATGACGACAGTGATTTGGTAAGGCTTATTATATATGTACATTGATATAATCTGTGAAAATAATGACCCTGTATTAATATATAACAAATGATCTTATATTGTCATGATGTTTTTTTATCAACAGTTGTATATACTTACAAAGCATTTTTATATAATGATAAATTTACCAAAATTTGTTTTCAGTATAACGGACGTTAAAGATGGAATCTCACTCTGACTTTTTTGTTACTGATTGTGGGGAGGATGTGTTATTTTGATAAAGCTCTTTTATCAATTTGTAGATAACTTTTATACTTACCTAGTTACTTAAGCATACAGTGTTTTTTCAAAAATATGCAAACCATAATTTAATATTTTTTTAGGGAACACTGTTAGATGTACTTCTCACAGCCATACACATAATTGCAATGTTCTAAGCAATCATAAATATTCTGAATATATATGTAGATATAGATTATTTATTAATGAATTCAAATTAATTTAGTAAAAATTATGTTTGGGGAAAAAGAGAAATTATACATTTTAAAACAAACATTCATTTCTGCATCATTAAACTTTTAAATACCGAGACAAACCTGTTTTGTTATTGTGAGGATTTCTTTTATGTTTTGATCAGCTTTTTGGCTTATTGTTACTGGTATGACCATTATTTTATAATCAACCACAAAACATATTTATAGTAATTGCTCTATCTTACAGGACTATTTTGAGAAAAAGAAAGCTTCTACAGAAGGAAGGAAGAAGATGGTAACTATAGAAGAGAGTGATGACGACTTGTAAAAGAGATTGTTCTTTAGTATTAACTCATTGTTATTAATTAACGTATAATCATTCAGGAATTATATTTCTGTACCTAGCTCATCATTATCACCTGTTTTAAAATTTACCACATCATAAGAATTTGTAAAATAGTAATGTTTTAAAGACATATTTCTGTTAATGACCTTTAGAAACAGAATTAGGTATTGACTTGTACTCACTGTTCTCATATTTAATTTTCTCTTAAGTTGACTTTGTATAGCAAGTGCAGTGTACAGAATTTCAGAAAATTTTCTCATCAAACTTGGATTTATAAAAAGTAATTTCATAAAAACAGACTATTGTGTTGTTGTTTATTCAGGAAATGAATATCACTAGTTATAACGTTTAAGGAGAATTTTTTGAATGCATGTTCAACAATCCTCAAACTGGTAAATAATTACCTTATATGTCAGTATCATTACTAATCAACAAATGGGCTGTTGAAAGAACCAGTTTATGGCATTACTAAACCTGAATATTGAACAGTCTTTGAATCCAGTACTAAAACAGTTACATGAAAGAAAATGTTTAGTAATTATAAGATCTATCTTGTTTTGAGAATTTGGAATGCAAACACAGTTCATCCTTCAAAAGTGTTTTAACATTAATATATTTTTTTGCATTTTGTGTTGTTCTTTTATTTAAAACAGTATTATATTTATTAGTTTTTAACTTGATCTGGCACAGTATCTATGATATTTAACTAAATATTACTTGACATAGCTGTTTTAATGTCACACTTACAGAACACAATTGTACATAATATTTTATTGTTGTATCATACAAATTTTATAGTATCAAGATAGTTATTTTAGCAATATACGCTTTTAATTAAAATATAGTTTTCAAAAGTGCTTAGGCAGAACTGTTATCAATTTTAGCTTTCAATTATAGACTTGTTGCTTAGCAAAGAAAACAAACTTTCCTAGCTTTATACATTCTTTTAGAATACAGTTGCAGGCTTCCATGTTACATAGAACAGGTTTCAAATTATCATGTGCATTAGATTTAGAGCTTATGTGGATCATTTTGAATATGGGACACTTTTGATTACATTATTAAAAATTAAACTATTTTTCCCACCAAAGGATTTGTACACTACTAAAGATTCAAGTTTCAGCTCTTTGTGAATAATACATTCTATACGTGTTTAGTTAGCAGTGTTACAGGTGTTATGTCTACTGAATAACTTGATATTATGACAATCTTGACATCATGTCAAGGATAATTTTACACCTCTTGGTGCCTTTGTAACCTTCACAACAAGTCACAGGATCACGCAAGATTTTTTGGTTTATACATACTTCAATATAACTTCCCATGTTGTGCTACTCCTGGCTTTTTTTTTTTTTTTTTTTTTGGCCATGGCAAAGTAGCTCATAGAATGGCTCTGAGTTTTTTTTCAAGTACAAACTTTTAGCTTATAGCTTCATCACTTGACCGATTTGAGATCTAATTACAGCCACAGCTATTGAGGATTCCCTCTTGTTTAATTTACTAACAAATAATAGTTATAAATAAAATAAAAACATAAAATTCATAGAAACACAAAACTTTCTTTTCTTTTTGGACTTTTTAAAAAGTAATTATTAATGTCACTTGTTATACTCATTTTTCATGAAAGTTGAGACTTTCTAGTGAAGTCTTAACAAAGTTACGGGTACATCTATCTAGTTGTATAAGCTTAATATTAAAGGCTACAGTGTTGCTTACTACTGTCATTCTGGTAGGATTATGTAAGTAGTTTCTTTTGTTCAATTTAAGCAAATAGTTAGTCTAACTTTTTAAATTCATCTATTTACCACCAATTTGTATGTGCTTGTTTCTGTTAATTTGTCACTTTGCTGTCACTTGAACAAACCTTGTACATTTACCAGATATATGAGTTAAAAAAACAAAAAACTCTAAATTATAAAATTGTACAGATAGTTTTGTTATAGCAATATTTTTCTATAATAAAACCATAGTACAAACCTATAAAACAAGGTACTTCTTGCATATTTTGGCCTAATGCTTTCTCAGTATTTTATGTTTGAGTAAATGAACTTAGTATCCTTTGATAAATTGTTTAGGCAGAATATTCATTGTGAAACTAAGTTGAATGGGCAGCAACTGCCTGTTGTAGAAACACAAGTGTAGAGGATGACGTTTTGAAAGTCTTCTGCCTTTCGAAACATCGTCCTCTACACTTGTGTTTCTACAATGGGCAGTTGCCATCCATTCAACTTAGTTTCACAATGAACTTAATAGTTGTTTCTCCTTCTTTCAGTTTATCAGTTACATGGCATTCTTTTCTTCCATATTTCAACTGTGTCTGTGTAGTTTATGAAACTAGTGTTATCTGTGCCAGCAGTTGTATTTTAATTATCTCTTTCTCGAAGGTAGCAGCATTTATTTATAATCACTGTTGGAATTAAGGTTACTGTTAAGTATATTTCCTATTATAACTGAAATGGAGGTTATTGATAAAACGTTTTTTAATTTAAAAAATGGCACATTCTGAATGTATTTCTCTAAATAGATCATATATAAGTCCTGTTTCAAAGTTTTTTCCTAATAGATTATAAAATTTGAAGGAAAAAAAAGAAAATGACTGTAAAGTACTTTTTTTCAAAAAATATTAACATAAAAAAATTAAATTGTCATGGAAAAATTACTGTAATTTTTGTGTTCTCATCCCAAAAGAAGTTAAAAAAACTTTGTTACATAGATACATATTTTTAAATGATCTTATTTCATTGATATATTAGAGAGTACAAACATTGTAGTCTGTGTTTCTTGAGTGGGATCTCTAAGCCTCTTTGCTGAAGAAGGTTTGTACTAATGTACTTGTTTATTGGATATGCCTGTAACTATTATCTCTATGATAGTCAATGTGAACCTGTTATTGAAGTTACCAGTAGTAACTCATTTTGATGTAAGGAACATGAATGCCTTTCAGTAGAAATGCACTTGATAAACATTTTCTACCACTAGGACACCTTGACCTAGTATCTGAATCTATATTCATCAGTGTCTGTTTAGAAACTCATCCAATGTAATTTCTATGGGTTTGAATATTTTTGTAATATGCTTCTCAACATAGAGTTTGTATAATGTTTCATGAATGAGGAAAACTAACTTGTAAAGCAACAAGAATTGGAAATAACTTTGATATAAGGAAGGTTTCCTTCAAGAATTGTAGAACTTATATAAAGATATGTTCTTCTCCGTGTTTGTTTTTATAACATCTAACTATGATTAAAAGTCATTTGCAAGTGTAAACATTATTTTAACAATGATTTTGATACATATTGCATCAGTTGCATGCAATAAAAATTACAAAAAAGTATATTACAGTAAAGTATAAATTTCCTATAGTAGCTATGTAGATATACTAAATGTGCCTTAAATATATGTATATATTTTTATATAGATATATAAAACATTCTGATATAATGATGAATTTAACACAAGAGCCTGATATTACACTAGTAAGTATTTATTATTGTTAAATAGTGTATAGCCCATCAAAAATAATGGGACAAGTACCCCCACCCCACCCTAACCTCACATTTCACAGCGAACTAAAATAAATAAATTTTACAAAATGAAGTTTGACCGACAAAGAGGCAGAAAAGTGCAGTCAAGCATCATTAATTCCTTTTTGAGCCAGTCAAAATTAAGAACATTCATGAAATGAATTTGTGGCATATTCACAGAATAATTATTTGTAAAGATCAGTTAGATTAAGAAATTCTAATATATAGAAAAGCCACTACCTTCCAACAATGGCTTTTATGTCATCTTGGAATGCATTGTTAGTAACAAAAGTATAACCTAATATGTTCTAAAAGTATAAAATGAAATGTATAGACAACAAAACTGGAAAAATATTTTGTTGATTTCTTAATTTAGAGTCTCAGTTGATTAAAGAATTTTGTTTTTTATTAAAAATGTTGGTGATATAACAGAAAATAGCTTAATTCAGAAATGATT